TGCGATTTTAACTGCCAAAATAATAATAAGTCTAATACATATTCATTAGTTTGCTTACTACTAGCCGCAAAAGAGGACATAGCTCAACATAACATTTTATTTATTATACTATAATTATAATGCATGTATTTAATAACCTCATATCTTTGCTCGTGTATGTATGTATAATCTTTTTCCTTTTGTAATGCAAATTAGGATCTCGTTTACATAAATTAGATCAGTTGTGAAGAGCTAGAATCACATTTTTGTCTAAAACCGTCTAAATAAAACTGTATATTACAAAACTAACAAAACAATTTCACACTATTGACTTGAGATTATAAGTTAATGGGTTGCCATGGCAAATGGCTTTCTGCAAAATTCAGTAATTTCTATTTAAGTTTTCATGTATCTTCTGACATTAAGTGACATACTTCAATTGAACATAAAAGCGGTTAAGTTCGAAAAGTCTACTTTTACGTTTTCATGGTTAAATGAATGTTGAAAAACTCCGTGTTGAACGAAGGCTTATGATGTGTATGTCACTTCCATAGCAGAGGCCAGTGTGGCCATGTGTTTAACACAGCGTATCTTGTGTTAAACACAAGCGCATCTTCACCTTAATGTTAACAAAACTGAATCTATTCAATTACGCCAAATGTCCTTTTGGGTAAATGTAGTCGTCTTGGTCTTACGCATTTGTAGATCTTTAATCATCAAGAACTCAAGAGCTAAAACACGTTTCCCCCGGCCTAGTATGTTATGACTTACCCAGTCTTCACTTAGATCCTACGGTTTGGTTTCATCATAGTAAATAATAATGGAACAAGGACTCCACTACATGGTAGGCCCGCTAGCGCAAAACTTTGGCGAATCCATCATTTTTCTTTGAACATGTTATTGACCGAGTGAAAATAACGCTGCCCTCAATACCGGGCATGATGCATTGTGTATTGGCACTGCTTTGAAATCGTGAGATAACGTGTCAGGGTGCGAGCCGGTAGCTGAGCTTAGCTTGTGGTCAATATTGTCACCCGCGGCGATGATAGACTGCCCTCTGTGCCAATTTGCTCATAGTATTCGCAGATATTATTTCCCAAGGCTGTGGCTATGACCATGATAGGATCATACGGATATGATCAAGACCAAACAGGCTATCACATATTTGTTGTTTTCTTGTTAGGGCTTTTAGCTATTTATCTAGTCTCACAGACAATGGAAAGCGCATCCTTCATCTGCAATCTTTTCATTATTAAACTAGATTACTATGATCCCTTTTAAGTGCACTTCCCATATCATCTTCTAATGTCACAAAGATTTGGTTAGGAGGTAAATGAGAATATGGTTTATAACATTACGGTTATTACCTCTTATCTCGGAATCCGCTCCTAGCTACGTCTGTCCTTTTCTATACAGATCAAGATTAGCAAGTCTGATAACTTTATCTCACCATCAGAGCTTCTCTCCTCTATGTAGGAATGAGCCCAGCCGAGGCAGTTCTCTCACGGGGTTCTTCGTTGCTGCCACCCGGTTAACACGATAATTGCGCCCCAGGGTGGCTGCAGGTCACCGCCGCGTAGTTTTGCAAGGAGGTCATTATCCTACATGTCTTCAGAACACTTCATTCGACGGTCCAGTGTGGAGGCTTCATGCTGTGTCTCTCTGATTTACTTTGTATATTTTGTGTTTGTTTGTATGTAGTTAGGCACGATAGCTTAAGAAGCAATGACTTCATTTGCAAAATTTCTGAGGAAATGTTTTCAGTTTGAAGAATCGAACTAAAAAAAGGATATTGCTGTTACCATATGCATTAGAACAGATTAACGAAAGGCGTATCTATGAAAACTACGTCTGCCTATGCCATAGACACGAACACAGCTTTCAGTAAATTAAAGCTTTTGTTAAT